GTCTCAACAGGTATCCTAAAGTCCCATCTCTCCTTATCGTAATTGGTTTCCACAGCGGCCTTTGTTCTCCTACTCTTTGTAATACCTTATGAAAGTTATTGTTTATAGGTATTATTATAACTTGGAATTAAAATTATCAAGTATTCACAAAAAATTTAGCGTAAAACACAAGACGCTGCTTAACAATATCATTTCGCCCAACAAAAGCATCTTCATAAACTAAAAGTTATTTACAACTTTATAAAAAAAAGACTTTTGTGTGTTTCAACCGTACCAGCTACTAAAGCTGAATTTTGTGAGATTACCTACACATGCGGTATCAGAAATTAAACAGCTTCCATAGAGCAACTTTTGAAAGAAACCTTAAATTAAATTTATGAAATAATAATTTTACATAGAATTATATTAAGGATTTTTAGTTTTTCCTGTGCACTTCTTCTTATCAAATTACAAAATTCTAGGTCAACGGGAAATGCTGCTTTCAATCTAACGTTATAAGTCAGTTAATCTGTCATGGTATAATGCACAACCCCATAGATTCCAAGAATATACCCGCCAAATATCAAATCTCTACGTCCACCGGTTTAGGCTCTGAGTTATCTGTCAGTCTTCCAATTTAAAAAAAATATTTATTTCTAAGTCTACTGGGCTTCGCGTAGTTTACCAGTCAGCTACATTAATCCTCTTTTTTATCCCACTTGGTGATAAAATTTAAAAAAAAATCTTTCTTATGATTAGGTCTACTGGTTTGGGCTGTGCATAGTTTGTCAGTCAGTCACATTAACACTCCTATTTAACCCTTTAGGAACCGAATTTGAAAAAATCCTTTTATAGTGTACAAATTCCAAATCTCTTTAAGTTTCATTTCTTTATTTAGAAAGACAGAGTCATAGCAATATGCTTATTTATTGAATCGTTATTTTTAACCTTGGAAGAAATTGCTTTTTCGTCCTGTGTAAGTTTAACAAAAACCTGAAAGCCTTCATATTCTTTAAGTTGCCGTCCATTAAAAGCACATGTACTCTTTAGCCTTTGCAAACAGAAACCTGTTTTCGTTAAGTTCATATTTTTCAGTGTCGGCGTGTGCATTATCTNGCGCTCTGACCTCTGTAGCCTTGCTCTCTTGTTCCTGCTTGTCATATATCTCTCTAATTAACCCGGAATTTGTATTTGTCTACCTGAAGACTAGTCAGACACACACCTCTTCCCCAGATCTGCATCCCTCCTTCTGTGCTCTGACCTCTGTCGCTTTGCTCTTCCGTTCCTGCTTGTAATATATCTCTAATTAACCCGGCATTTGTCTATCTAAAGACTAGTCAGAAACACCTTTCCCTCAGATCTGCATCCCACCTTCTGTACTGTGACCTCTGTTGCCCTGTTCCCTTATTACTGCTTGTAATGTGTCCTTCTAATTAACCCGTCATGTCTCAACAGGTATCCTAAAGTCCCATCTCTCCTTATCGTAATTGGTTTCCACAGCGGCCTTTGTTCTCCTACTCTTTGTAATACCTTATGAAAGTTATTGTTTATAGGTATTATTATAACTTGGAATTAAAATTATCAAGTATTCACAAAAAATTTAGCGTAAAACACAAGACGCTGCTTAACAATATCATTTCGCCCAACAAAAGCATCTTCATAAACTAAAAGTTATTTACAACTTTATAAAAAAAAGACTTTTGTGTGTTTCAACCGTACCAGCTACTAAAGCTGAATTTTGTGAGATTACCTACACATGCGGTATCAGAAATTAAACAGCTTCCATAGAGCAACTTTTGAAAGAAACCTTAAATTAAATTTATGAAATAATAATTTTACATAGAATTATATTAAGGATTTTTAGTTTTTCCTGTGCACTTCTTCTTATCAAATTACAAAATTCTAGGTCAACGGGAAATGCTGCTTTCAATCTAACGTTATAAGTCAGTTAATCTGTCATGGTATAATGCACAACCCCATAGATTTCAAGAATATACCCGCCAAATATCAAATCTCTACGTCCACCGGTTTAGGCTCTGAGTTATCTGTCAGTCTTCCAATTTAAAAAAAATATTTATTTCTAAGTCTACTGGGCTTCGCGTAGTTTACCAGTCAGCTACATTAATCCTCTTTTTTATCCCACTTGGTGATAAAATTTAAAAAAAAATCTTTCTTATGATTAGGTCTACTGGTTTGGGCTGTGCATAGTTTGTCAGTCAGTCACATTAACACTCCTATTTAACCCTTTAGGAACCGAATTTGAAAAAATCCTTTTATAGTGTACAAATTCCAAATCTCTTTAAGTTTCATTTCTTTATTTAGAAAGACAGAGTCATAGCAATATGCTTATTTATTGAATCGTTATTTTTAACCTTGGAAGAAATTGCTTTTTCGTCCTGTGTAAGTTTAACAAAAACCTGAAAGCCTTCATATTCTTTAAGTTGCCGTCCATTAAAAGCACATGTACTCTTTAGCCTTTGCAAACAGAAACCTGTTTTCGTTAAGTTCATATTTTTCAGTGTCGGCGTGTGCATTATCTTCTTCTGAGAACTTCTTTTATCAACTTTCCGCCATCATACAAACTAATAAAGGTTTTCCCTTAGTGGCATCATAAAAGCTCGTGTCGTAAACCTTGAAAGAGACTCGAGATCCATTAGGGTTGCATCCTTATGCACTTAAAAATGAAATTCATTTGATATAATGGTGGCGATGTCGTAGAACCAGAACGGACTTTCTCGGTTTTTTTTGTACGTCTCTCTCTCTTTTCTCCAGTTAATTGATCCACATAATGGCACTCCGCATTGCTTCCGACCAGCCAGCATTAATCTACTTGCCCTTTAGCGTAAAACTGTTTAATCATCTCATGCGCCATTTAATGAGAAACTGTTGGACTGTTTCGCAATTTGTTCTCTCATTTGTCCTCGGTAAAAAGATCGCGTTTAAGAACAGGATGGCCTTAATCCTCACGTATAACAACGACTCGATAAAAGAAAAAAGTGGACGGAATAAGGAGAGACTCGCTTACAACTGAACGAGATACTCCTCGGCTATTTAAAGAAATCACACAAGCAAACGAACGAACGAACGTTCCAAGCAATCTCCAGTTAAAGTCATTTTAAACAACTGTGCACAACTTGATACCTACTACTCCTCTCTTAGAAAGACAATTTACTGATTTAAATTTTAAGAAAATAAGTCTGTACCTTACTTATCGAAGTACTTTGATTGTGATATTTATTGAGACTTTTTATCTACTTTTGTTATATACGAGTATCTGACTATAAAAATGTTTGTATAGTTAAGTATATTGAATAAAATAATTCGAAGTAGTCTGTATTCTGTCGAAACTGTCAGACGGGGATCGCGATTTCGATTTTATTGGATCTCATCAGCGCGTCGCAGACAGTTTCGACAAACAGTTTCGATTATGGTAACGTGCCTATCACGTTGAGGTTAGCTACGCCGGGATTCGTTTCAGCAAGTAGATATCCATATATTTAAATGGACCTTGTTGGAGCATATGTAATCCTAAAATGTAGCATCGTACTACAGATGGCGTTTACTACGCCATTTGTAGTATTTTCTGTTAAGCATATATTTGTTTAACAGAATTCTCAATTTTTATGTTTCTTATATATATATATTTACAAATAAATTACTAAATAAATAAATAAATGGAATTCGTGTGGAACACGCGAATGATAGGATTACGTAACTGTTCACCAAATTCTACTAAATTTCTCTAAAATTAATGCAGTGTTTGTACTCAAAATGCTTTAATTGAAGGTATTCTTTAAAACCGATATATACCTTCAGAAATTTTTAGGGTTGTGTTTATTTCTTTAATCCAATTTTCATTGAAAGGGGACGCTTTAATAACGATTTTGAAATTGTTGAAGTTGTTGAAAGCAAAAAATTAGAAAATATTGTTTGTTACATTTTAGTAGACTTATGTAACGACACCTTGTTCAAGGGGGTAGTAAAAAACAATTTGAGTATCTAAAAACATATTTTTCCAAAGCTGTCATATTGTTTATTCCCCGAATGCTTTTATAGAAAAACATCTCTTTAATATGTAATTTTATTTTGCACTACTGAGTATAAGTTCTACATATAAAGGAGTGTACATTTTTATAGTTTATATCGTTTATTTATAGTTTTTATAGCAATGAACATTAAAATTTGTAATTCAATAATTGTTACCTTATAAATGCAATGGAAAGTAGTATAACTTGTAAGAGTTGTTGACATAAAAACATATTTTGATATCTCCGTACTTAACCGATTTACTTATCATACCAAGTTCTTTTAATTCCGGAACAGAATGCCATTCCTAATTGAAGGTAAGAAGTAAGCTTGGTCCGTTTGCGCTTTTTTGATCATGTTTTAATAAGGAATTTTGTACATTTTTTATGAACTTGTGTTTTATTACAATTGAATGGCTACAATTTTAAGGCATATTTTAGGTGTAACTTTTGCTTGTAATGTTTTCGATGAGTATTTTAGCAACAAATGAAAATTATTCCTAAAACTACAAAACGACACACTTGTAATTATTAGTTTAGACGTATAAATTTTCAAATTTTCGGGTAATTTTTTTATCTAGTTCTGTACATATACAATTCGTATAAGATAAAGGCTAAATGTTTACTTAATTACACTTGAAGCCATTTGCAGGAAGGGTTACCATTCGTTATTAGGGTTTCTCCTTGAAATAGACTTCAATTGATGCCAGGCGTGCAGAAATAATTTATTCCAATGTATCCTCACTTAAAAGAAAATCGAATCTTATTTCTAATAACCTAATAAATTTAATGTGAGATGTCGTTTTGTATTTTATTTATGAACAAACGTTTCCATTTGTATGCATGCATGCATTTAAGAGAACGAAATGCTTCGAATGATATTCTGCATGAACAAGCATTCGTACATTTATGTAAATAGAATCGTTTACCTCCGATTACCTTCAATAACGTAATCTATCTATAAAGGAAAATAAAACGTGTTCCGTAAACCTACAGGTAACCGCCACGGATGGGGACAAGGACCGTCCGCAGAACATCGTCTACTTCCTCACGGGACAGGGAATTGACCCGGATAATCCCGCCAACAGCAAGTTCGACATAAATCGAACCACCGGGGAGATATTCGTGCTGAAGGTAAGCCAAGCAATTTCATTTTTAGGGAGGTATGTATCGTAACCATACAACCTGTAATCGATTTCATACAGGTACTATCCTCTATTCGTTCTGTTTCATCGAAATCGTTTCAATTTTGCTTTAAAGAATTAATACCCTTCCTACGATTCAACTAAATTTTGAGAGGATATTATTGAGCCAACTTCAAAAGAGAAAAAGTATCTCAAGAGCGATTAGAATTCGATAAAACAATTATGATAGGAACGAAATTACAAATTTAATTCGTATAGATAGTATAGCCGCTGGATTATCAACCTTTCAACCCCCTTAATTTTCGTAATAATCTCATTTTATAAATACTCACCGAGATCGCTCTAGCGATTGCCTTGTCAACACGGATTTGACATTGTTGCTTGTTTATATTTAAAAGAAATGTTTTGGTAATAGCGCTGCGGGCGCCTTTCAATATTATCATGACCCCAAAGGATGGGCACCCAACAACCACTGCAATAGGCCCTTAATGATATGAAGGGAAAAACAACAGTTGTTCACATTGTGGATTTGTTCGCGTTAACGAGTGTATATTTTTAAACATCTATAACTAAGAAAATGAAACTATGTACATGGGTACTAGAGATGCAAATCAATGAAATTTATCTCTTGGTTGGCAGATTTTCAACGAGAGGAGTAAGTTGAAATTGTTGAAATGAGCCTATAGTGTTTATAAACACTAAAAGTCTCCAAGCACATTTGTAACAAAACCATACTAATAAATTATTATCGTTAAAAAAAGCAAGAGAAACCATAATAGTTCGGCCATACTGATGTATTCTTGTAACAAAGTGACAAATAATTTAGTAAAATAATTAATAAATAATACAAATTAGGGCGAACAACCTACGTCAATACAATCTTAATTACCAAGTTTCATTAGGTAGGGTTTTTGTTGTAAGTAGGTACTTACTTATTATTATTATTACTGATGTTTGTTTTTTAATTTTTGTCTGGTAGAATTACCCGGCCCTGCGGTATCCGACTGCATCTTAAAAAAAAATGGTTACAGCTGCATAAATTCGCATACATCAACCTCCAAAAATCAGTAATTCTCAATAGATGTAGATTTCTTTCCTCCAGTATGTCATACTCCATCGCAGAAATTCAAAAAATTTGAGTAAAGTTCTTGGGCATATCAGTCTGTACTAACTAAAAGTTGACCGGTGAAAACGGAGAAAAGCGAAACATGATGAATATAAAATAAACAAAAGTCATTGTAATTAATATTATTTGATTTATTACCTTGTTAATCTTGTCTGATTATTGTTTTTTCGCCAGTTTTTCAATTTTAAAAAACTCCTTAGTTATTTGATAAAAACTTTATACCTATAAATGTTTATTATTTTAAACTATCTATTGCCACCAAAGCAAATTAAATCGGATAAATCTTTGTTAAGAAATCGTAAAATATACGTTTTTATACTTTTTGATAAAAAAAAAGACGGCTGGGCTGATGATTTCTTTTAGATAACATCAATCACTGGCACCTAAATGAAACTGAAATATTACATCAGCCGGGAATCAACTACATGCAAACCTAGTCATGTTGAATCCATGCGAAAAGTAAAAAGAATGTATTAAAAATTTCAGTTTCTATTTTCAAACTCGATCGATCAAACTTCAACTGGATAAACATTTATTCAATTTGTTCTTCGTAATTGAAAAGGAGCAGATACATAGACAGAAGTTCCGTGACCAATTTTGTCCAAACAAAATGAACCGCTTGACCGATTTCTACCTCCTGTTAACACGCGTTTGTTGTACTTTCTTCGATATATAGATCAGAACCTCAGAAGCTTTCGAATCTGTTGTTTTTTTTGTTATCGGGTAAAAAGCGGGTGCAGGATAGTTTCTAAAACGAATAAAGTTTCAAACAAGCCCCTGTTTCGGTTCCCATTCCCTTAACCGCCTTTTTATGGTCCCTTGCTCACGGCCCGAGTCCCGGAAGTAATGGTTACGCCACCGCGCACCGTTGCTGCAGACGAAGTAATTTATCGTGAACTTCGCAACGGTATAATAAATTCTTTCACATACATCATGAAGAGGGAAAGAATCACGGCATTATCCTTTGTTATCGTCCCGTGATGAACTACTTGGTACCTACGCGAAGAAAAAAAGAAGTCCGGAAAGATAAAAATGTGCACTTGATTTAAAGTTGATGCGTGATCAGTAAACCAAACAAGTTATCATAAAAAAAAATTTTGTCCCATTTACCACAGCAGACTTAACAGAGCGGACACGTGTTTTATCCACCTCTTATGTGGACATTGCCAACGCGGAACTATAGTAGTTGATCATGCTAGAAGTTCTGATTTAAGACTATGGAGTCTTTCTTTAATGTTATAGCCCTTATCACCCCAATCAAAGCTCCTAAAAGACACAACCCTCCATATTATTTATTCTTGCCAGTTAGAAGGTACCTGTCATACCTTCAGAGCTTTATCACGAGTTGAGTAGATCACTAGTAATCATAAAAGAAAATTTAATCCTACCAGGTAGGACTATTTATTTCATATTTTTGAGTCGAGTACCTATTAGCGTGCATCCTTCGAGTTTTCATGTAACCTTTGAAAAGCAGTTGAAACCTAAAAAAGCAGCTAAGTGCAAGTAGGACTCGCGCACTGAGGGTTGCGTATAAATAGTTCGTTCGACAAGGGAATCGAGTCTCAAAGATTAAAATTCCCCCCTAAAATCAATCCTCAAAACGTTTAATTACAATCATCATCATGAGGTCGTGAGTTACAAGACTGGTTGTACACGCACCTCCACTCTATCCTATTCTGAGCTAATTTTCGCATTTCCCTAAAACTGCAACATCCCACATTCTCAACAGTGTAAACTCTATATAACGACACTTAAGGAACTGAACATTTTTCGACGTTATAAAGAGTGGTCGTTAAATAGAGAGAAATAAAAGATATTATTTTACTATTCTATAATAATATGCATTTACCAATATAGTACACATTTTTCACACGAACATCATTATTAGTCAGACATTGCGTATAGCCTGTTATCTTCGTCTGATGTTTTTTGCTGCTCCAATATTTTAATTGTATTTTGTTACGTATCTTACTCATATCTTGAAATACTGCTGGATCAATTTGATTATATAAAAAGTATTTCTTTAATAGTTTTGCTGCATGAAGTGCTTGTTTGATGCTTGATGGAGGGACAGGATCGTGTTCTTCAACAAAGTACACAGCTGCAGTTCTTATCTATTTCGGCAACTTAGAAAGTACTGCTCAATGATTTATAATGCCCCATTGTTGTCGTTAAATAGGGTGAGCGTGACGCTATATAGAGTGTAATATTGTATAGAAAACAATGTAACAAAGTCAAGCAATTTCGACGTTTTAAGGAGTTTGTCGTTAAATCGAGTGACGTTATAAAGTCTGTATTTGCGAACAGTAATGTAATTTAGATCTACCCCTTCTAACTTCTGTTTCTGTCTCTAATATGTCTCTGACCTATCTCGCCCATCTCTTATTGACTTCCATAGAGTCCTCTGTTCTCCTATTTTTTCTAATATCTATTCATTTCTAACCTTCTCTATCCGCGGTATCCTCATCATTCGCCTGTAATACTATACCTTTCGAACACTTTTAACATTTTCTTTTGCGCAGCACCTACTGTCCATGTTTAGCATCCTTACAATGTCGCGCTCCAAACATATACCTGTAACAATCTTTTTTGAATTTCTAAGTTAACAAGCAACAAGTAAGCAAATCTAAGCATACTAATCGATAGCGTCTTTGATGTCCTGTCTGACTCCCTTCCTAATATTTACTTCTCTACGTTCCAACCCCAGCTTTATAACTGCCTGTTGCTCTTTATATGTATAGACTAAGTGTCATTCTTCTTTCTCTGTAGGTAACTCATCCGTACATTTTTAAGTATATTTAACATCTTGTCCCATTTAACATTGTCAAAAGCTTTTTCTAAATCTACAAATCCTATGCACGCACTCTTTCCTTTTTCTATCGTTTTCTCTGTTGTTACCCGTAAAGCTAGAATGGCCTCCAGCGTTTCTCTATTTCTTTTACAAATTTACGGTTTTTTCCTTTACTTTCGCTTCTTGCCAAATTTCATGATCCTAGGTTAGCGGGAAGTACCCTTTAGGTTTTGATTCCCTAAAGAGTATTAAAATATGCGTCATAAACGATCGTATCTTTTGATTGCTTTGAGCTAGAAGTTTGTTTCTTTTTACGGATCCAAAGAATTGCTGGCCTGAGTATTTGATATTAATTTCAATTTAATATCTCCGCGCGTACATTAGAAAAAGAGTCTTAATAGATACACTAGCAACGAAGTAATCCTATAAAGGTCCCTTTTTTCCTTTTATGATACGGAACCCTAAAACTTGAATCTATAAGAAATATTGTAAGATACTTCTACCACCAGCATTAGTGTTGCTCGATGTGTAGTTCGGTAAAACTTCACACGTCATACCTCAAAAAACATAACGAATAACAAGATGGTAATCTGATTAAGTTTTATTTTATGTTTAGCTATATAAGCTCTACTTGATTAATTATTGATAAAACTTCGAAGGTACGGTAATGTTTAGGCCTTTATAGGTACAAAAATATGCAATATGAAGTGTTGTGCCCATTAAGACATTTGATCGTTATAATATGATGGTAATGGCATATTAAAAATTCAGACGATTCCGCTTAAATCTATTTTTCACAAAATAAGTGCGGGGTCCTTTGTTTTTTAGTCGAAATATTAGGCTGACTTTGTGTAGGAAGTTTACGCCCTCCTTTTATGCAATTGATTCCATCTGATAATGATGATGATGATGTTCATTAAAAATCACTCGAAATCGCCCCCAAATTACAAGAATTTAAATTTTTTAATAAATAATGACCGACACAATATAGTAGAATTTATAGCTTAAAAATCCGATCGTTTCTATTAAAAGAATTTATAAATATACGAGTGTAATGTTAGCTTTCTTTTTCCACTAAAAGAATTTTAATTTGTTAATAACTGATGATCGACAAACAAAAATAGAATTTAAAGCTCAAAAATCCAATCCTTTTTATTAATAGCATATAGACACGAGTATAATTTTAACTTTTTCGTTACATTGGCTAGTGTCTGCCATTGCCAAAAGTTTACTTTAGCTAATAAAAACCTTAATATTTTTCAGCCTCCGCTGCCAACTGGCAATTCCGTCCTTGTATTCCGAACTTATTGAATTTTTTTTAGTTAATATCCTCATTCTACGCATTTTGATCTATCTAAATATACTCCATATCGATGCGTCTACCTCTCGCATTCTATTCTTAATCTTCTTTTATTGTTTCCTACTTTTTTTATTAATTGTTCTAAAAATATATCACAAAAATAAAAAAATGCGTCCTTGATATCGCTCATTGAAAATTTTTTCCATGATACGTAGATTGTGTACCTTTTTTATACTTAAAATGGTTGCTTCGACACAATCACACCCAATAAGCGACTATGTGTATATATATTTGTGTGTGTATTGAGTAAAAAGGTTTATATTGGAATGATTTTTCCTCTTGCCGAGCGGATTGCCATTTTTCAACGGTTTTCACGCTTCCTTTTCGTAAAAAGGATGTTGATATATGTAGAAAGGAAATCGAAATGGCCAATATTATTTAGCAAATTTTATTTATCCAGACAATTCACAACATAAAATAGGTACTGAGGATTGAAACTTTTAATTTTTAAAATTGCACAGTTAATGTAAATAAAATTATTTATCAGTATGCATAACAATGAAAGTTTAAAAAATCATAAAATAGAATATAGAAATATTAAGTCACATATTAACTAACTAATCTAATTATAATATCTAGTATTTGTTGCTTGGTACTATACAGGGTGTCTCACGGTAACCACCCATTAGAATATTTCGGAAACT